ACTTTTAAAAAATTAAAAGAAAGTCACTTACCAGGTACTGTAGACTGAGCCTGGCTCTTCACAGTGCCTTGGTAGCCCCCCGAAGAGCCAAAAAAGAACACCAAACAGCTAAAAGCCGGCACCCAGCAGGCAGCCAGCAGCCATTTTGTGCTCTTCTCCTCTTCTTCCCCTTCCCCTCTCCCCACCTAACAGCTGATCGGCACTCCTCTGAAATGCTTCCCAAGCAGCTTTTAAAGCAAAACTAGCAGCTTTTAAAGCAAGTTTGCACGTTTCTACACATGCAGGTTTCAACTCAAATGGAAAACCTTTTCACCCAAGCACTAACCCCAAACAAGCAGCTTTTAAACTAAATTTTACATTTTAAAATGAGGATACCAGGCAGTCCCAGGTCTCTCTCCCAGCTCTCTAACTGCGAGGAAGCAGACAAGCAGCCTCTTCACTAACTGAAAGTTTGAATTTCCCGCTTTCCCTGCCTTCCCTGCATATTAGGTATGCTAATATCTGTGCACTGGAGGATTGTGGGAGGAACACCCAGCCCCTGATGGGGGTCCTGCGTGGCACCCCAAAACACCGAGGAGCTCTCTTGGGCTCTGGCCGAACTGGGGCTTTGCAGCCCTGTTCTGAGCAGAAGGTGCAGCCTGGGGGGTCACCATGCTTGGGGGGGGCATGGCACAGAAGGGGGTAGGAGATGCAGGGGCCATTTCAATTCATACCTTGCATGGGAGATACCATGATCATTGAAGTGGTTTTCCCAGGGTGAGGCTCAACCATTGCACTTCAGGTGTGCTGATCCCTGTGATTTCCGCAGATGTGGGAAAATCACCTGCCTAAGTGGGGGACTGCATTTGTAGTTTCCCCTGGTCTTTCAAGAATTGCTATTTTCTCTTTGGTCCTTGGCTATTTTCACTGCCCTCTGCCATTTAAATTTCCTGCCATAGGCCTGTTGGCCCTGCTGGTTTTCCAGGCTGGCTCTAGGAGGCAGATCCTGGAAAGCCAGCAGTGCAGATGGCAGAGTGGTGGGGTCCATTGTAATTGCCAGGGCAAGCAGCCAGTTCAGAGGCCTCCCAGCATGGTCATGGGAGGCTTCTGGGTGGTGGTGGCTGAACCCTTTTTTACAGTATTCACTCCATAAGATGCACATACTTTCTCCCCCACTTTTTTTGGGGGGGGACTGTGTCTTATGTAGCAAAAAATACGGTAGTTAGACTAAATCCGTCAACAATTACAGTACTTCCTTTGTTGGAATGTGTACTTAAAGGTGAAATCGGAAATAGTGAGACCTCACTAAGGTTGCTTGCTTTTGTTCATTATGTTAGTCCACACTGCCTGCAACACCAAGAAGTATATGCCCCAAGCATACATGCACAGGTGGGATATTTTGACGTATTTCAGATCCCACTCATGCTTCCCCTGCTGTTCTGAAGAACTGAATATAGCAGGGAGGACCAAGCAGAGGCTGATGCATGTGGATGATCTGATGAACTGTGGAAACTTGTCCTCCAGGCCAACTTTGACATCAACATAGTTCCTATCACATATTATTAGTACACCAGTAACTTAAGCAATGGAAAAAATGATATTAATAATAATTGTTACCACTTCCGATTTCTTACGAGCTGTAGTTATATATACATCTTCTGTTTTTAGATTAAACAGTAATGTTTTAAGGTGTGACTCTTAAAGAAAAGATGGGTGCTTTTAAAGAATTAGTTTAAAAGAAAAGAACACCAATTTACTTTAATTCTAACAACTGTGCATTTCTCTGTGTGGCTTTGCTCTTTCTTCCCTTACTTTACTTTTGTTTCTGTGCGTTGATTGTGTGATAATCAGTAAGATTATGTCAAAAGTGTTTTTTAACATACTGTATGATAGTTTTTATTAACTGAATAATAATGAAATACACTGTTAGAGTTCTTAAGGCAATTCTTACAATTTTCTTCAAAAATTAATGTACAGAAGGACTGAGGACTCTGCGTCTGTCTGTATTCATTTTTCACATACCACAGCTATGATATGTATGCAGGATGTAAGTCTTCTTTCCAGTTAACAGCTAAGATGCTTGTTGGAGAAGTGTATTCAAGATGTCACTCAGGATTATAACCCAAGCCAACTGTGTTTTCTCCTTAATAAATATATCTAGGGTTGGAGTCTTAATCTATGTATAAACCAGATTTTGGTGGATATGGAAATATTTCAAGGATTGGGTTTTAGGGGTTCCCCCCCCTCCGATCCAGCTGTGATAAATGTTTGATTATGTGCACTTTTTAAAATCAGTTTTCAAACTTTCTGAATGGGAAGGACAACATGTAGCCCTCCAGATATTGATGTACTGTAGTTCCCATCATCCCACACCATGAGTTCTGTTGGAAGGACTGGTTGGAGTAAAAGAAACCTGGGAGTTAAACAATACCTGGAGGGGCATGTGTTAATTTTTTACACTGCCTTTCTCCTTAAAAAGGCCCAAGGCAGCCTTAAAATTAATATTTGGCTTGACAACTAACCATGTATCCGTCTTTAATACCTATGTTGTGGTGGTGATAAAAAGGAGTTAGAAAGGGATGTGTGATGGGAGAAGTAAATGTTGGGAGATGACTTGTCTCTACTGTAGAAGCTTTGCAGATTAATGTAGCAGATCTGCCCCCTTCCTTCATTATCTAGAAATTGCTGGGAGGAGGGAGCCATAGTTAGTCTGCTGTAGCAAGAACAACAAAGGGTCTTGTGGCACCTTAAAAACTGACAAGTTTTATTTGGTTTAATTTTCAGACTGCAGATTAAATGGACTACAGTCCATAATAGTTCATGCAGAATAAAATTTAGCCATGAGACTTGTGTTGACCATAGTCTAGGATTAGGTTCAGACTGAAACTAAATTACAACTGGAGAGTATACTGCAAAGAAAGAAGGGCTCAACTAAGTCCAAGAGGGTACCAGCATGGTTAACGAGAGGAGTTAGAGAGGCTTTAAAGGGCAAGGAGGGGTCCTTCCATAAATGGAAATCCTTCCCAAATGAGGAAAATAAAAAGGAAAACAAACTCTGGCGAACCATTTTTTTTTTGGCAGCCCCAGCCGTTCCTATGGGGCTTGCAGTGTTTCATTTTTCAATTTATTTTTTGTGGGTATTTTTTTTTCTTCTGGAACGGATTAATTGCGTTCCAATGCATTTCAGTGGGAAATTGTGCTTCAACTTACAGCCATTTCAAGTTACGTCCATCTTCTGGAACGGATTATGGTCGTAAGTCAAGGCACCACTGTAATGCCATTGTACAAAAGCCTGGTAAGGCCGCACCTCAAAAAAGACATCGTGGAACTGGAAAAGGTGCAGAAGAGAACTACTAAAATGATGACTGGGCCGGGGCACCTCCCTCATGAGGAAGGGTTACACTCATTTGGGGCTCTTCAGTCTAGAGAAAAGGCGCCTGAGGGGGGGACATTATTGAGAAGTATAAAATTATGCAGGGATAAAGTGGATAGCGGGAAACTTTTTTTGCCTTTCACACAATACTAGAACCAGGGGACACCCACTCAAATTGAGTGTTGGGACAGTGAGAACAGACAAAAGAAAATATTTCTTTACCCAGTGTGTTGTTAGTCTGTGGAACTCCTTGCCAGAGGATGTGGTGATGGCATCTGGCCTAGACGTCTTTAAAAGGGGATTGAACAGATTTCTAGAGGAAAAGTCCATCACAGATCAGAGGACATGATGGGGATGTATAATCTCCAGGCTTGGAAGGAAGGTACCAAAATGCCAGATGCAGGGGAGGGGTATCACTTGTCTCTTGTGCTCCCAGAGGCATCTGGTGGGGCCACTGTGAGATACAGGAAGCAGGACTAGATGGGTCCTTGGCCTGATCTAACAGGGCTGCTCTTATGTCCTTATGTTCTTAATTGGTAGTTTTCACCCTGACTGTCAGAGGGGTGTCATAAGTTCTTTGCATTACCATTCCAAAAACTAAAGAGATACTCTTCTTTTGCTTCTTTCCTTTGGTGTCTGAATGTATAACCAGAAGAGTAACGGAAGCAAAACATAACGACTTAAGAAGAGCTGTCCCTGATCAGACCAAAAGCCTCTTTAGTCCAGCATGCTGTCTCCACAGTGACCAATCAGACCCCTAATGTCCACAAGCAGGACACGGGAGAAGTAGCACTCTCCCAGCAACTGATTTTTAAAAGGCACGGTGTTCAGATGCTGCAGGCAGTTTCTTTCTTTCTTTTTTTAATTATTTTCTTCAGAACAAAAACAAATGCAAAAGTATTTTCTTCAGAACAAAAACAAATACAATACTTACTACACAATCTAAACTACCGTGCACCCCATACCCACGGGATCCCTTATAACAATACTTTTAATACGATCCTCCTTTCCAAAATTGTATTGATTGTTGTTTCGAGGCTTTCTCTTTTCCTTTCACTAATACAGATTCAACAAATCTACCCCAAATAGCATAAAAATATCTTCTAATTTAATGTCATTTTTGTCTTTCCAAAATCTAGCTATTAATTATTCTAGCATTTGTCATAAAATTGGAAATCAATTCTTTCAAACAATAATCAAGTTTCATCTTATAAAAAAATTGACAACAAAGCAATTTTAGAGTTGAATTCAATATCTTTTCCAAATATATCACATATTTCCTTAAAAATCAGTTTCCAAAATTTCTGAACCCATTTATACTCCCACCACATATGATAATACGTGCCAATTTCTTCATCATATTTCCAACAAGCTTTAGAGTAATCTGAGGCAGTTTCAAAACATTATGACTAGTAGCCAAGGTGAGATCCTTTCCCTCTTGTGCTGTCATTAGCACAGATAGCAGAAAAGAGAATTGCTAACTGCTATCCAGAAACAGGTGAAGAGCCATCCAGAACAATTGCTGCAGCATAGCTTCCCATGTTAACAGTTTAGTTCTTTCTGTTGGAAGAGGAGGAGGAAAAGGAAAGATACATGGTCCTTTTTTCATATCCTCAAGGGTATGTTCAGGTTAGCTATATCTGCTTTACCAGCAGTCATCCAGGTAGAGGTGGAATCAAAACGGTGGCTCAGGAACTGAGCCAGTTATTTAGTACATTTCATAGACCATGCACGGGGATCACCATACAAATCTATACAGTTCAGTTTTAATGTAGTTTAGACCTTTAAAATGTTGCTGTTAAACCAGTGTTTCCCAAACTGTGCGCCACACCACCATGGATCACTGCCAAACCCAGCTAGGGACACTACAGAATCCTTGGAAATGCTACTCAGACTGAGCCCCCCCTCCCCTGTTCTATCCCCACCCACCCAAAGTATCATATTGGGGAAACTGCAGCCAGTGGCCAGTAAAACTGAAAAGGTTTGGGAACCACTGTACTAAACAGTTGGGAGTTGGAGCCCATTGCTAATCATTCTGCAAATCACCCATAAACTTGCCAGTAGGACCAGACTTACCTTCTGAGTAAAGAGCACTTTCTTTTGGAGGAAAGAAAAAGAAGTTGTATTTAGCTATTTAATTATGAATAACTAGTTTTGTTCTGAAGTCGAGATGTTACAAGATGTTATCTGAAGTCTCAGATGATGATGATGATGATGGTGATGGT